TCCTTCTAGTTGCTGTATGTGGGACGCGGCCTCAGCATGGCTGGAGAAGCAGTGCGTCGGTGCGCGCCCGGGATCCGAACCCGGGCCACCAGCAGCACAGCACGCACACTTAACTGCTAAGCCATGGGGCAGGCCCGGTTTAAATATTTTTTAATACTGTTTTCAACAAACACATAATATTCCTTTGTGTGTATGCACCTTAATTTGCTTAACCATTTCAATTTAGTACATAATAATTAAGGCTGCAATGAACATTTTTGTCTGAATTTTTATTGTTGTTTTTGTTTTTGCTTTAAGCCATTACTTCAGCACAGACTCTTAAAGATAGTCATACTGGACCAGAGGTGGGGAACTTTTTGAGGACTTTTGGTACTCATTCCTACACTACTTTTTGGAACATGGTGATATATGAAAGTATCATCAGCTCTTAATTATTGGACTAAATGATGTCTGAGTCCTCTTTCAGCTCTGAAGTTCTCTAATCTAGTGACTGCATCTCTATTAAAGGGGAAAAGAGATAGAGGAGATAATTTGAGTTTACAAATAGTTTCCAGACTGTCTTCCAGATCAGCATTCTAGCCTGTGCTTTCTTCAACCAAGCTCCTTATCAGGGCTGTCAAGCAATGGACAAATGAATTGATATTAATTTTATTTCATTTTTGTCCTGGATTTCTGGTAGAACTCCTATCGAGTGGTGAAATAACTAAATATGAGCAGGGGCAAGAGAAAAAAATGCACAGAATAGACCATGGACCCCTGAGTAAATGAATCCTCCCTGCTCTGTGCTGTTGAAGTGCCTCTTTTGTGGTGTCCTGAAAGATCACGAAGACTCGCATTAGATGGCTGAGGCCAGCTGTAGTCACTGCAGATGGAAAAGTCCCAGATATGCTAATCATCTGAGGCCAGAGCTCACCCCTGGTTCTGTGTCCTGTTGGTGTTAGGCTGTGATGAGGGGTGTCCTCTACTTTGTCTGCTGACCAGATTCAGGATACTTCACTTGTGTTATTTTTTTTGCCATTCGCAACAACACTGGTGTGTTTGCGTTGCCCAGGGATGCAAAGGTTGGAGGGGTGACTTGATGGCGACGGTCCCAGTGATCACCGGTTGGTTCCCTCACTTTCTCCCTTCCACCAGCAGCAGTTCATAATGCAGAAGTGTGCACAAATGACATCTTTTTTGGAGGTGTGTCTAGAGTGGCTTTTTGGAATATACAGACAGTGTTGATCGTCCCCACCTGCTATGGGGTCCAGTTTTTGGGACAGAGTTTCCAGGTGTGGTAATGAGCCTCATTAAGAACAGAACTGTGGGGGCCGGCCCCGTGGCATAGCGGTTAAGTACATGCCCCGCTGCTGTTGGCGGCCTGGGTTTGGACCCCGGGCGCCACTGACGCACTGCTTGTCAGGCCATGCTGTGGCGGTGTCCCACATAAAGTGGGGGAAGATCAGCACAGATGTTAGCCCAGGGCCAGTCTTCCTCAGCAAAAAGAGGAGGATTGGCATGGATGTTAGCTCAGGGCTGATCTTCCTCACCAAAAAAAAAAAAAAAAAAGAACAGAACTGTGACCTGAAGATAGAATTTCTGTGTAGCACTTTGTACAACCTAGGACTGACCTGTTTATCAGAAAATGCCGTTGCTCTGGGCCTAAACCCAGTGGATAGATTGAGCACTTGCTGTGTGCCAGGCTCTGTATTACATGCTGTACATAACATCAGCTTGTAACAGAACCCATCAGGTGGGTATTATTAATTATCTCCAAATTACATATGACAAGCCCGAGGTTCAGGGAGATGGATGTTACCTAAGTTCTTCCAACTAGGAATATTAGGTAGTGATAAAATCTTGAGCTCTTGACAACTGCTCTATGCTGCTTCCCAGAGCATTTCCCAGAGTGTTTGTATTCCATGAGATGTGACAGGAAAAGGCTTTAAAGTGGGGACATTTTCACAGCTTTCTCATTTTTGGTCGTGGTGGTAGAGATGATTTCCTGCTTTGTCAATTGCAAAGTTAATGACTGGTGGTTAGTTCTCATTAACCCTTGTAGAGGAATGGGTTTTCTAGACTGGAGTGAAAGAAATACAGGTGTTGGGAGCAGTGAGTGGATGGAAAGAAGCCTTCAGACTCCAGGTGGATTTGAATCCCTTATGAAGCACAACCAGGAACTCAGGAGAGTCTTGGGGCAGGGAAATGGAAAAGGCCAAGTGTGAAGTTCCTAAGAGACTCTAAATGTAGAGTGGTGTGATGATGACTGAGACTATTTTTATGGTGGTATTTGGTTGGATTAAAAGTGAGAATAGTAAGAATCTGGAGACATGAGAAGCTTGGCAGATCAGGTATGAGATCCTCAGATATTTATCTTTAGTGTTCAGATAAAAAGGGCAGATCTCGAAGACAATCTGATCGCAATCACCTGGATGTGACCAGATGAGGAACATGGCAATTCCCAGGGGACTTGATTGAAGCTGGGACACTGGGTAGGTGATGGCATCTTCCATAGTGTCTGGGAAGCCAGTAAAGAAGAATGGAGAATCTGGAGCTTGTGTGTTCCAGGATGGTATTTGAGGGAGGGAGGAAGGGCATGCCCACTGACTTTATCGGGAAGATAGAGCTAAGGAATTCTGTGATGAGGAATTGAATGCCTGGGTAGAGGTTAGGTATGAACAGATAAGTATGGGAAGGGAATTATTTGCACGGAGATGGTAAGAAGGTCAGGGGAATGGTGGGTGGGAAGGGAAGATGCCCAAGGACAGGGCCAGGTGGCCAACCTGCCAGATACCAAGGCAGGTCACTCGAGTGCGCATTCTGAGCATGGGCTGCTATTTACTCTCTGCTTAGGTGTCATCCTCATCTACTCCCTTTATAGTCTTCACCCTGGAAAAGCACACATTTAAAATATTCTGTTTCTTTACCTGGATAGTGGTTAAACAGATGTTTGCTTTAAAATTATTTGTTCAACTCTACAGATACTTTTTGTGCACTTGTCTATGTATGTATAAATTGGAATTGAAAGATGAAAAAGCTGAAAAGCACCCACGAGAGCCCCACCACCAGTTCACACCATGCTCTCAGTGAGCACCCAGTGTGCTGGCTCCATTTTCCTTTGCCCACACACACAGCATGGCTGCCAGCTTTCCATTCTAAGTGCAAGCCTCATGTTGCCCACGGATCTCCACAGGCTGAGAAAGCTAGGTGACCTAAGGCACAGAAACAGCTGTATCATCATCGGATTCCTTTGCATGTGTCATTCACTCCAGTGGTCGTGGAGTCGGACTTTGTGAAATACGAGGGCAAGTTTGAAAACCATGTGAGTGGGACCATCAAGACGGCACTGGGGAAGGTCAAGCTGAATGTTGGAGGCAAAGGCCTCAGGGAGAGTCAGTCTTCGTTTGGAACCCTGAGGAAGCAGGAGGTGGACTTGCAGCAGCTCATCAGAGATTCCGTGGAGAGGTAATCAGAATTCTATTTGGCATTTTGGATTTTGACACGTCTCACATTTAAAGGTTGTTCAGTTGGACCCCTGTTAAAAGAGTGACAGACAGGAATTTGGCCAATCAACAAACATTATTGAATGCCTGTTGTGCTGAAACTTTAGGAGGACTTCATCGTTTAGTCTGTAATTTCTTGACTGTTCTTAGCCTGAGAGTGGAGACTTGGGAAGCACTTTAAAAGGATGTTACTTCAGGCAACTATGTACTTTTTCTCAATCTTATGATTTATAAAATGCCAACAGTGAGAATGCTCTGTCCTACATTTTTGAATATTAATATCAGAAGTAGGAAAATCATAACCCCCGCTAGCCCTTAATAATTTTCTGTTTAGGAGAAGAGAGCAAGTGAGGGGCTTCGAGGGAAGAGCTGGTTTCCGGCTTGGAAGTCTTGAAGAAAACCCCACATTTGTTCATTGTTTAGCTTTCAGTAAATACATTTTACCCCCATATAACTTCTCATTATTTTTACCTTATGTTTATTCAACATTCAATGAATAGTTGTGTTGAGTGCCTACTATGTACCATGTCCTGTTCTACGTGCTGGGGATGCTACAGTGAACAAAATGCCAACATTTCTGCCCTATATTCTAGTGGGGAGAGACACAAAATGTACAATTAAGTAAAATATATAGTAGGTTGATGGGGATTGATGAAATGGAGAAAAATATAGCAGAGAGGGCAGTATAGGTCATGCCAGGAATGGGGATGATTTGAAAAAGTGGCCAGAGAAGGCATCCTGGAGAAGTTGGCACTGGAGCCAAGACCTGAAGTTGGGGAGAGAGCGAGCATAGGGGTGTCCTGGGCAAGAGTGTTGGAGGCAGAGGCCAGTGTGGCTGAAGCTGTGTAGGCTAGGCAAGAGGAGGTGACATCAGAGGGGCTAAAAGGAGTGGCAGGTCCTGTAGGACATTGTAGGCCACTGGAGAGACTTTAACTCTTACTTGGAGAGAGATGGGAAGCCATCAGAAGACTTTGAGCAAGGAAGTGCATGATCTGCCTTATGTTTTAGAATGATCATTCTGGCTGCTGGGTTGAGAAGAGACTGGGTTGGTGGAAGCGGAGGCCAATTGAGAGGTTATTGCAATAATCCTGACAAGAGATGGTATTTCAGTTTGTGCAGTAACGTCTGTGCATTTTCATGTGTAATTATATCACCTTTTTTCTTTTAAAACAGAAAATGCGAATCCAAATAAGTTGAGAGAAAACTCACTTGTGTTTAAGTATGGGTAGCTTATCTCCCCTTTTCCCATGTTCTTAGGATTATATGAAATATAAAATACGCTTGGTCATCGAACGAAATTATGTTTAAAAAATTATGAGTAAAAGATATCATAAAACTCATGTATCAAGCATTTGGAGGATGGATTTTGTATAAACATTGAGGATGCTTGGGCAACTGTAGTCTTCAAAACCCATTCACCTCTCTACTAACCTCTGATGCTTAATGGACTTGGAAGATCCTGGCTGTTATTTGACTATGGCCTTTTGGCACTCTCTTGGACTCCAGGACTCCAATGAGTTAGGACTCTGGCGGGAATTCCCTTTTGGTCAGAGAACTTTAAGCTCGTTATGGTGACACCAGGTGGAAGCGATAGCCACCTGTTTCTCTGAGAGTCATGATCTTAATTTTCCTTCCTCTACTGCTTTTCTTCTTTGCTAGAGAGGCATTTTCCTTCTCTACTGTAATACTTGAGACATATTAGACAAATATTTGTTGTCTATCTGAAAATAAAACTGAATTGGGTGTCCTGCATTTTTATTTGCTAAGTGTGGCAAATAAGGGGGAAGAGGGACAGGAGGGCTGGGAGTGTCCAGGGGCCTCTGTTCCCTCAGTCTTCAGACAGCCCTCTATAGCTTAGCCTTATTTTGCAATCTTGTTATTTCTATTTCAAGAACCACCGTTTGGCAATGCTCTGTAATCACATTTCTCGATATAAGATTTTCAAACACTCTTCATGATTCAGGTATAGAAGATAGTGCCAACAGGAAGCATATGGGGAGAAGTCAGTGAGCAGAGATGGGGGAAAACATTCTGAAGAGAAAGAAGCCAAGGCCGCAGTTATAAGTTGAGGAACAGGGAGAGAGGGAGAGGAAGGAAATGAACAGCCCCTGAGCACCTACTGTGTGTCAAACACTTTATAGACGTCATCTCATTTACTCTGCACGGCCGTCTCCTTTTACATTTGAGGAGCTAAGGCTCAGGGAGGAGAAGTGACTTGTTCTCAGTCCCAGAGCTCAATCTGGGTGCTGAAGCTGGGATTCAACCCAGTATCTTCTGGCGCCAAAGCTCCTGTTCTTTCCTCTAAATCATTCTTGAAGCAACTGTGAAGCAAAGAAACTGGCTGAGATAAAAGTAGTTAAAATTACAGAACAGAATGTAAAGGCAGAGCATGAATCTGGGTCCCCAGTGAGGGTACCCGGGGAGTGGACAGTGGACTAGGTGCTGCCCTGAGCAAGTGCACGTGAACAGCTAGGCCTGTCCACCTGGAGGGCCCCGCACACGGGGATGAGATCAGCTTGGGAGGGTATTCAGAAATCCTGTTCATTGTAGAGGTGATGGGGAAGGGATGGCCAGGCGAGGGGCAAGGGGGCTACCAGGAACATGATAAAGAACAAATTTAAAGTTTAGAAATGGAAAAGGTGTCTTATCCCAGAGCCATGTCTTCCTTGTTCTGTTGCTAAGAGTAAAGGTGAGCTATATGGGAGGGGAGGAAAGACTCTCTGATCACGGGATGGAGATCATGTAAAGCTAATGTTCTTGTTGTTTCACTCTGGAGTAATAAATTCTTATTGTCTGCCTGTCTTTGGTCTCCCACAACATCATCGGATTGATAAGATACTGTTTGATACACACATGGCCCGGGAGTAGTAATTAGTAATGCTTAAATACTGTGAATTCTTGAGGGCTTATTTGCAGTCAGTCATTTTTATTTCAGGTCATTTAAATAAGTTGTCATCTGTATACAAGTTATTTTAGCCTTCAGAATTCAGAGTATTACCTTTATTGTCCCCGAGATGTGTGCACATCTCAAAAACAAACTTCATCTATCCTTGAAAAAACAAGTGCCTGTATATGTAACATTTATCTAGCATTGTTGGTACGAAAGCGATCCACAGGAATAAACCTTTACACCTGGAGCTGACCCCTTCGAGTGAGAGCTCTATGTTTATCTTAAAACATTCTTGATGGAAACCATGCTAAGATATATCATGTACTTCTTTTTTTTTTTAATGGAGAAGAACACATTTGTTGATATCTTTTTATAATGACTGAGATTCATGTTTTATTATTCTTTTTTTGTGTGTGTGAGGAAGATCGGCCTTGAGCTAACATCTGCCAATCCTCCTCTTTTTGCTGAGGAAGACTGGCCCTGGGCTAACATCCATGCCCATCTTCCTCTACTTTATATGGGACGCCGCCACAGCATGGCTCGACAAGCTGTGTGTCGGTGCGCGCCCAGGATCCGAACCGGCAAACCCCGGGCCGCTGCAGCGGAGTACGCGCACTTAACTGCTTGCGCCACCGGGCTGGCCCCCTCATGTTTTATTCTTAAGAGCCAATATTATTTTGTAATAAACTCTTTAGTTTTTCTGCCTTGTCTTCCATTGTCAGCTGCCGTTTGTCACTGCCTTAAGTACAACTGCCACACCCCACCCCACCTCTGCCACTCATTTGTTGCTTCTAATCTCCTATGGTCAGGGAATTGTATTCCTGGTCAGTAGCTTCTGTAGATTTGGTATGTCACTTCTGCCCCTCGCCTCAGTTTCCTCAGCTGTAGGTAAAATAGGTGGACTAGATGATCTTCGAGGGTTTTCTCCTGGCTAAATGTGAGAAGTCAGAGGACTCCAGAATGCACGCATTGGCCCCTTCCCCTTGAGTTCAGGGCCTTGGTTTCAGCTGGTTCCAGAGATGGCGCCATTTTGTGCTTTCCTGGCTGTTCAGGCGTTGAAGTGGGTGTTACCATACAGGCAGATCCCATTGTCATTCTTTGTCATATTGTAAAGCAAATTTTGGTCAAATGGATTACCTTTTTCTATGCATACATGATAATTAGAAGTTTAGTTCTTCATTAAGAATTCCAACTTATAAATTATATGAAACTAATACATCATGCAAGCAATGGTATGGCAATGATAAACCTTCATAATTATTTAAAATATTTTAAAATTACGCCTGAAGTCTTATATCTAAATACTTCCAAAGTTTACAAGTTTTACATGCAAGAAAAACTTTTAAATGCTACTGTTTATTATGGCCCTCATTTGATCTCTCTAGAGTTACTGCAGTAGCTCTCATGAGTACTCTTTCAATGTGCCATCCACTCTTACTTTATTTAGTTGTTGTTTGAGGGGAGGGATTTGAGGGCCCATGTCTTTCTTAAAAAAGCCATGCAGCGAAGTTGGAACTGGTCTTGTTTTCTACTTGATAAATTTCCCTGTGGCCCGCAGAGGGTTTGAAAATCATTCCATTTGTCTTTGTGCTCGGCTCAGTGCTGGCCTCATTATTTTTAGTAAATAGAGTTTTTGCCTAACAATTTAAAGACCTCTGGCCACATGTTCTTGGAGAACAAGAGTTTCCTGAATCTGGTCCTTTTGTTTATTCTCTTTTTCCTTTGTGTCTCCTTTAGGGGCCGCCTTTAAGTAGTCAAAACAAACCAGGTGAAGGCATCCCCAGGTCTAGGGGTGGGAGCGGTCGGCAGCACATCTGCGTGCTCTTCTCTTGGTGTTGGTGGGTGACAGTATTTTTAGGCTGATTGCAGAGAGGTAAACTTCAGGCTCATTTTCCAAAATGAAAAAAATTGGTTGTGGAAACACAGAAGTATAAGGAGTAATATAACAAACACTAATATACCACCTCCCTCAACTGGGGCTTAAAATTCTTTTTCTTTAAACCAAGACATAGGAGTCATCTCTTTCTGCCTTCACCATCCAAGACTTCATTAATAAAATGGGATTAGCGTTC